CACACACACACACACAACTCAGTAAATAAATATAGCAAATGCTTCACTCTCACACTTTTGCTAATTATTGAGAGACAACTGGGCTCAACTATTCAGCAAATGCCAATTAAAATAAACTGTGCTCAAAACTGTAGGTAGAAAATGTTCTTAAGCACACAAACCTTTCTTTCACATTAAAGAGTGAGTGGTAACTTTATTTATCCAGAACCCGGATCACTCAGTAGCTTAAATTTCTATGCAGTTCTCCTTATTTCAAAAGCAAGCAGGCCATCACTTTACACATACCTACTGTCTCTAAGACAAGGACAGCTGTCAACCCCAGATGTTTTAAATTTTTACCCAGCCTTTATTTATTTGTATTTAACCCTTATCATATTTTCTTTTAACTGAAAACAGGTTTTTGTTTAAGTATCACAATATCTTACTATTGTGACAGTATTACTGGAATGGCTTAGTCTTTAGGGGAGCAGACAAGCTGAAAGTTCACACTTATTTAAGATCAAAACTGGATTCAGATTTCTGAACTGTATAAAGACTTCACACAGAAGCAACGATTTTGTGCAATGCAGCAGGCCTAGTTCTAATAATACTGTAATTCATCTTTAATTCAAATTAGCATTGATTAGCAAAAAATTGTCATGATTCCAAGCCAATTTAAAGCTGCTTGATTCTGGAGACGTTTTAAAGTAATTGGTCATATATCGGTGCACTCAGCAAATGGGTTGAGAGTGAGCCAAGAAGAGCGCAGTCATCAATATCTCTCTTGTGCTTTCTAAGGTCTAAGCCACTCAGATTTTTTTGTTTGACCATTCTCCTCATGTAATAATGCTTGTTTAAGATTTTTTTTCATTACTCAAACCCAAGAGAATAAATTTCAAAGGAAAAAAATATACTGTTCATTTGTTAAGATTTGAATTTTTTTCCTTTCTTCTTCTGGGTCACGTAACTCTTATAACAATCATATGACATTGTTATAAGAGTAAAAAAAAGTATATAACCTGAATATAATCTGACAGAGGCTCATACAAAAAAAATAAACAAATAAAAAAATAATACTTCTGGGATCACTTATGATTCATTTCCAGTCAAGAAGGATTAAAAAGCAGTAACTATAAATTTCCATGGTGGTATCGTTAGACTCTGTTAGTTATTACTGTTCTGGCTGCTGCCCTAGAACAGATAAACACACTGAAGACTTGGGCATAAATATAAATGAAACATTTTAAAGTGTAAAAATGAATTAAAAAAAACAAACAAACCCAAAACACAGAATATGTTAAGTGATTTTTTTAAACAGATTTATTATTTTAAATGTCCTTAAAAGACAGTGGAGTTCAAGCCTGGGAGGACTTATGATTGCACCAGAGCTCCTGTTTTTGGGGACTTAACTTTAGTAACATGTATACAAAGTTGGAAACCTGGCTACTTTACATGAATTGCCACACATGTAAGTTTTTCCGACTTTAATTTGTTCCCTTTACATTTTTTCTCCAATTTTAAATCATTTATGAATTGTACCTGAGAAATTGACACACAGTAATTGTAATCCAACTGCAATTTACATTGAAGAGTATGTTTTGTACACAAAACTTTTGGGTGGCATGCTTTGGTTCGGAGTCAGTGAACCCCTTAATGTATGTCGATGTAGCCTTGAACTCCATTCAGTTTCAGTAAAATGCCTAATCCCCGATTTGATGACCGCGCAGTGATCGAAAAGGACACTGCCGAAGGCTTGGCGAAAGCCTACCGTGTCATATCCTCAAGGGATTGTATGCCTCAAACACACTGAATTTCACACTGAATTAGCCAGACCAGCTGGTACAGAGAGATATTGATTTTCCAACTGAGTTGAGAAGGGAGGAAGGAAATGTAGCATCCAGACAAGAGAGAGGGAGAGAAGAGGACGTCATGTGAGAAGAGCAGCACATGTGTGAGGAAGGGCAAAGAGGCAGAGTGAAAAATATTTGGACCTGGCCGTGTATATTCTAGGTGTCATCCACAGCTTTTATTCCCCTCGGGCTTCACACTTAGTCTCAGTCTACTGTGAAAACATCATCAATAAAGATTCCAATTATAACCCATACCTTTTTGTCTTTGGTGGTTTGGCTTGAAAAAGGCTTTTATCCTCTTTTAACAAGACGGAGGGATCTGAGGCTAAGCATATTACCAAGACAAAACACTATGCCAGGTGACAGAGACAATTACAGCATCCAGATGCTGTTTAAAGCTGCTGGCACAATGCAATCTGTGTTAGTCTCCATTCTACAGAGAACGTGCTCGTTTTCAGTAAATTCTCTATGCAAGAACACATCATATAGAAAGGTAATTAACTAAGTGACAAGAATTTTTGGCCACATCAAGCAGAGCTGTTGGGAGATGATGGCAGTAAAGAGCAAAGCAACTAAGGTACACTGAAATTAATATTCAGACAAAGCCAACCAACTGAGTAGTGCTTTATAACTGTGAAATATTTAAATCTTGGTATTTCAGACACTTCCACTGAAATTGTATGCTATCATTCAATCAATCCTTAAAGTGTAACAATCTGATGAAGGTGCAAAGAGCCTTACCTTGCCATTACAGGGCTGCTGGGAGAGCTCGGAGGAGCACCAGAGGTGGGTGGCCATCTTGCAAGATTTACAACGTAGGCCCTGCTTGGAGTTTCCTGCATTAACACCAAACATTACATGTGTTACCATAAGCCTGTCAGGAAATATTTCTGTAGCTTTAAATCGATCCTTAGCTAGCGATGGTATTCTAATGGTAGCAAAGATGAGGTGTGCCAGATGTGTGCCTCATTTGTGGTTCCTGTATCAAGTATAAAATAAACCAGCTCTGTCACTCACATACATTGTAGTTTGTGTGCAAAATATTACAGAAAACTAATGTTACATATTAGGCACAGTTAGTATATCCACCTTCAGAAATGGCCTTTGTGCATAAACTGACATGGTTTTAAATTGGTCTACACTGATGACCATCCAAAGACAAAGGGACACAAAGATACCAGTTTGGTGGATGTTACTGGTAATCCCATTTTACACAAACAGCACTGCTGAGAAAGGTCAGCATGCCAACAGAACAAGAAGGCAAAACAACTCCCAGTGGAAGCATGTACAGAGGTCCATAAAGCCTGCTGTCGGATGGTTTCATTGGGACCAATGAGCAAATAGACTGCAAACTGCCCACAGTGACTGGGCAATAATAAGAAATGAGCTATAGTCCATTACAGGGTACCTATTATGCTCATTCCCAGTTTCATGTTTTTATATCTAGACAGATAACTTTGCATGATAGCAGTTCAAACTAATCCTTATTTATCCTGGCACTCCTCCACATCATACTCTGTCTAAAACAAGCCACTTTAACTCTCAGTCTCCTGACTTTAATCCAGCTTTCTTACGACTGGCTGCCTGTCCTGAGTGTGGCTTGTGTCTGAGATGACCATTTTAGGAATATTTGCTCACACACATTGACACAAAGGTAGAATATCTGTTGAAACAGATCATTCAGATATTTTATGAATTATCATGACAGGGACGGTAAAGAAATTCTACAATTCAAATTCTAACACTCAAGAATATCAGTTTGTCTTTGAATTTCAAGTGGCATTTGCCTTTTTTCTTTGTCACGTTTATTTCCACCATGGACAGATACAAATAACAAAAAAAACAAAAAAAAAAGCCCCTAACATTATAAATCAAGGTAAACATCAGAAAACAGATTGATAACAATCTAATTCCTACACCCTGAGCCAACATGGTTGCATCTTTTTGCTGGGAATACGATGTTCTTGAAGTGGAACAACTGACCTACCTTGGATTGTATGTTTGCATCGCTGGCAGCTGGTAGGCCTACGGAAGACATGCTCCTGGAAACAGTGGGTCTTGACTGGCTGCACTGGCTGGGCCTGACACTTTGGCTGGATGTTGGAAGTCCCATATATTGAAGGACTGACAGACGGAGAGTGTGATGACAACGAAGGGTTAGGACTGATAGATGGAGAGAGAGAGGGAGAGTGTTCATAGGCCAGGGGGGACTCAGACATGGGGGGAGGAGATGCCGGTGGTGCCGATGTGGCAGTTAGGCATAAAGGTGGCTGTGATTCACCGTTGCTGCGCTGGAAAAAGTTGTCCACACTCTTGCTGCGTATGACCGATTTGAAGGAGAGGGAGCGTTTCAGCCGCTGCAGCTAGAACAAAAAACATTAAAGATATTTAGTCAGGCTTCAACAGCACGAAAAATTATAACTGTTTTCAAGAAAACTGAGAAAGCAAGCGACAAAAGTACTAAAAGGCCCAGAGTGGAATGACTGCACAGCATACATGCTAAAACAAGAACTGAGTACACAATCTAAATTTTTCGATAATCCACATGGGGTCAAAATCATACACGTCTCAAATATAGACATTCATGCACTTAACATCATTTAGTAAGTGATTCTGAAGATTATACAGTGTTTTAATTTGACAAGGCCACTCTCTGTTAGGTTCATTAGTTATCATGATTGAGGAAATTGGTTAGGATGTTTAGGAACAACCCAGGAAACCCCCAAGGTTCAAGCCTGCTATGAACTGGGAGTGCTGGAAAACCAGCATCATTGTCCACAATGAAGGGAGTTTTAAATCACCATGGACTAAGGGGCTACCAACAAAGAAAGGAAACCCTACGACCCTACTCAATTCTGAAAAGAAGAGTGGCCAAATATCCAGACAGAATCCTTTCAGAAGCTTGCTGATGACTACCAAAAGTGTCTGGTTGAGGTGCAACTTGCTAAGTGACATTTAACCAAATATTTGTGGGGTTTAATGTATATGTATATATTTGTGCCTGTAATGCTAATGTCCTATACTGATCATGCAGTCACTAGCATCCACTAGGCTTTTGGTGGTCGTTTGCTGGTCGGTGGTGAGCAGTGTGGAACCAAAACAGTAACACGATGGACCAAAAACAGTGAGCTAAAACATCCTAAAAAGATGCCTAGAGCTGAGATTTGCTAACAACACAACTTCTTTCAAAATGTAAATGCAATCCATTTCATCTTTGAATGTATTCATAATTTCAATCATTTCTTCTTTAATATGGACTTCTATGTCCTTACTAAAGATTAGGTAAGGACTATTATACTTTTTCCAAGGGCTTTTAGAACAATGACTGCAACTTCAAATGTTAAAACACCCACCTTGTATTTAATTGAGGATCGTGTATGTTGTGCGGTGGCAGCAGATTTAAAGTAGGAACAATAGCAGTGGGTTTTGATACAACAAACAGGCAACCAGCTAAAGTGTATGTGCCTTGTTTAAATATTAGTCTGTTAAAAATAGTTGTACCCTTTCTGTCCTTGCACTGCTAGGCTGACTTCTGATCTTCCATATTCAGCCCACCCCACTCCGCTATTCTCTTTTCCTTAGATGGCAAATATGCTTTCCCTTGCAAATCCACCCAAGTCAATACCCTTTAAAATTCATGTTTGATTAGTTTTATTGAGCAGACTGCAGCTATGCATTTGATGCAGTCAGTGATGCATGGCAAGCACTGTATTCATCTTTGGCTTCACTTTCCTCAATTTCTTGCATGCTTGCCATCCAGCGCTTTTGGCCACAATAAAGTGGAACTGAGAATGACAAATAATTACAGGGACTTGGGAGTGATGGAACTCAATTTATGGAAAATAATAACTGATATGGATTCATACAGAGAACGGCCTGGAGAATGGGAGCAAGGACATAGTGGATCCGTGAGACCTCCTCAATTTGCACAGAGCTCATTAGCGGTCTGTGTTTGTGACTTGGTTGAAGATACCATTGTGATATACAGAGCAGTGCCTCAAACTTGAAGCCTATCCAGATTTATATTAAATTCTGGATTCTTGTTACTTCTAAGCATTAGTTTTCTTCCTGTGTAACCATTTCCAGCAAAAGGCGAGACATTTCTTCAAAGCCAGTAAGACCAGCATTGCAGCTTCACTGGACCTCTTTATGTTCATATGTGGAGAGGCTCTTCATCAGGTTTATTGCATCTCTGAGCTTTGAAATCATCCAGCTGCACTCCTTCACAGAAAACCCAATCAATATCATTGAGCATGTTCCTTTTTTCCTTCTTCAAGCTACAGATTCACAGATGCCAATTAGTTTGAGTGATGAAAACAGTCCTCTCTGTTGACCCATTACTGAGCTCCTCTCGCAAATGTTTTCTACAGGGAGCTGAGTCCATGCTTTCCTTAATGGCCTTTTCTTGGCATGACTGGTGGCCCATTCAGTAATGGATGTTCCTCTCTATTAGATTTTTAACTTGTCTGACTTTGTTAATCTTCTTTGTAGTGAATGCCTGTCTTTGCTTCACATCCAAGGAAAAGCAACAACTTCTTCGAGCACAAACTAGACAACATATGTCCGATAATCAATGGCTTTATTTATCTCCCCAAGCTTTTAAAGAGATTAAATAAAAACAGACAAAAGCTGGGATTCAGAGCCAATTTTAAAAAGTGAAAGAATAGCTAGTTGACTGCCAAACATATCTGGTACGTAGCTTTACATGGTTGAATAATCATGAAATCTGGGCATTAGTACTCCAAATTACAACAGCATATTGACAAGAGTCTGGTTATAGATCTGCCTGAATAAAACAAAAAAGAAAAATCATAATGTTGTTCATCCAAATTTGAATTCCATTGTCTTATCAATTTCACATCTAAAAAAATGGCAATACATTATGTGGCCTGAAAAAAATGTGATTATCTTTTATCTAAGAAATGATAAAGACAGCATGTTCCACATTTGCTGATCTAGTTGTCAACACATCCATTTTTCTGCATTTTTTTTGATTGCACATGATTAAAACAGACACTCAAGATTTAATCCTTCTGTTCTTTCACATGAAAGAAGCTACTTATAACTCCCTCAAACACGTATTTCATTGAAATAACAAGTCAAATCATTACAAATACAACAAATTTACCCTTGCGGCTAAGGGAAATGTAAACACTATGACATACAGCAACGGTTTGAGGAATACTTTCTCCTGCTTCAGTGTCCTCACGGTTTAAGCAAAGCCCATAACAAAATGTTTTTTCCAGTTTGCTGAAGAGAAATTTTACTGGCCTGACTTAAATCCCATCAAGGTATGACCCTATTGTCAAACATCAGGGGCTGACCTCACTAATCGCATTTTGGCAGCAAGGTTATAAAATCTTGTCAAAAGCCATCTGAAGAGTGGAGGCTGTGAAACCAGCACACTAATCACATATGCATTTAATATTTGGTTCTCCACATACTCGAATATATCAAACTGACTTTCAAGGCCCAGGTCAGTGCTGGTCCATAAATATTCAGTCCACATGCACATGGGCAGTGTGTATTTATGCACCACAGCCACACAGTGTGAACAATCATTACCTGAGATGCACACTGGGTTCAGTCTGATTTAAGCTCTGCTGATTTTATAATACATGTCAGGGGGCATTGATCATGCTCTGTGAATATTCAAGCATGCTGACAAAAAGACTGATTAAATTAGTATAAATAATTATTTAATGAATGTATCTATACATCAAGTAATTTTAAAAAATTACAGCTGCCTAACCCTCTGAAATTAGGGGTCTGCAGTGCATTCTGCTGGATATGCACCACTATCCTCATGATCTCCTTTATAACTCTTATTATCTATTATTGAATAATGTTAGAACAGCTGCTGTTTTACAGATTTTATACATCTTATAACAACCCTCTGAAAGAACAATTCAAAAGCAATATCCTATTAATTACAGTTACTCTCTGTAATTACTCTCCGTAAGGTGGTGAAAAGTCTATTTTTAGATCACAGAACTGGAAAGCTATCACACTACACAGCTGACAGCAATTACTTTATCACAGCATTTATGATGTAGTGTATTAGAACAGGCTGCGGTCTGTGAAAGAACCCATGTAAACTATGTGTGTAGTCAAAGAAACTGAAAGAATGAGTGAAACAGAAGCAAGAAATGGAGGAAAGAACATGTTAAGAGAAGAAAATATTGCACCACCACTTAGACTCTGCTTTGTATTTCAGCTGCACTTTGAAAATGAGCACAGAGATGTTTGGTGAAGCCTTCTATAAATAGGCTGTTGTAGGGAATACTTGGATAAATTAATTATTAAGAAGGGAGGTGTGGGCGTTCAGACAAGATGCCTGTGTGAGGTAAAGTCATCCTGCTGCCACCAAGATGGAGTTGATGCTCCTGCGCTTTTTGTGGGGCTGAGCAGAAAAGGAACAATATTTCAACCTTTTCTTATGCAATGCTTTTCTTCCTCTGCTATACCTTACGGTAAAAAACTGAAATCTGGCACAATAACAGCAAAGAGTCTCCTGATTCTTTTCAAAAAGTTGCCATCACCTGATTCCCTGGATCACAGTTACTTTAAAAGACTTTATCTAACCTTCTTTTGTACCCTCCTCCTCACTGATACCTTTTAAACGTGAGATCCATTTGAAATTGTAAGATGCAGCTAAATAAATGTCAAAGTCCAACTAGAACAACTGGAATTCATTTAACTTTAAACAGAGTCACTTTAACCGATGACAGGTGTGTACTGACTACTGTTTAGGTTGGGTTAATTCTGAAATTACCTATTAGTTACAGGATATTAGTTACATTTATTTTTGTTTTGTCAGTTTCATTGTGCAGGTTAAAGGTCACAAAGGTGAAAAAAAAAATCATAAATCATTTATCTTGGTTCCTTACAAAAACATGGTATTTTAATGTGAATTTTATGACCGTGGTCCTAAATCTGACACCAATCAACTTCAGAGAAAAAGGTTTATCATAATTGAGATAAGCTTTAACTTACTGGCAAACAACTAAAAATGTTTTTGACACATTACCTATTGATTCTAGATTACAGATCAACAGGTATGAAATTACTACCTACTGACCAGTAAGTTCTCTGGAAAATAGCACCATTCCTGGAATATCCTCTGAACCTTTGTTCAGAGTGTAAGAGCGTCTAAAGTTTGTGAAAAACACTAAGACATTTTTCAGCATTTAAAGTCTCTGCATTTCCTAGATGATGAGTGCTATAAATAAATAATTAAATGCAACTTTAAATCTTATTCCTCGACTTTTTCTGCATCAGCTGCAAACAGTTTCACAATTTCATTGTTCTGTATGAAGCTGTTTGCACTTGCTGACCTTATATTGCATTTGCACACACACTG